AGATGGGGCAATCTACTTCCGTAGTGATACTGCCTCAGAAACCCAAGGAGGGGTCGCTATGAGTCGGGTCCGACTCGACGGCACATAACAACAACAACATAGGATGGTATAGTGCCTAAGGCATGTGACTGCTAACCAGAAGGCTGGGGGTTCAAACCCACCAGCCAGTCCTCGGAAGGAAGCCTGGTCATTCTACTTCCATAGTGATCCTGGCTCAGATACCCATGGAGGGGTCGCTATGAGTTGCAATTGACTTGACAGCAGTGAGTTTAGTTTGGTATCATGCATAAGTGTTTTAAATATTATTTACCTTCAACAGCAGGTGTCTTAGTTGCTAAAACAGCAATTAGTGCAATAGCTATTATAGTTACTATAGCAAAGAGGAAAATCAGAGTGATTTCTAATCCAGAAAATTTCTTCCTTGCCATCTAAAAGAGAGAAAGTAACATGTGTTTAAAATATGAAACATATAACACAAGATTATCACTATATGTCATCAAATTTTACATATAAAATATACACATATACCTATAGATACATATTTATAGGTATATGTATATACACATATTTATATTGGCAGTGAGTTTTTGGTATATCCATCTGTACCTATACAGATTTGTGTCTATATATATATCTATATACATACTGATAGATATGTATCTACAGGTATACGTGTATATTTTATCTATCTCTATCTGTATCTGTATCTATCTATATCTATTTATGCCTATATAGATATAGATAGATAGATAGGTGGATGGAGCCCTGGTGGTGCAATGGGAAAGTGCTTGGCTGCTAACCAAAATTTTGCAGTTTCATGGGAGAAAGATCTGGAGATCAGCTTCCATAAAGATTATAGCCTATGGGGCAGTTCTGCTCTGTCCTATGTCATATAGGGTCACCGGGAGTCAAAAGTCCACTTGAAGACACCTAACAATATTTACAGAATAAATTATTTTCTCAAAGTCAAAAAATTCTAGTTTTTCTTAATCTACCTCTAGTCTTTCTAATTTCAGCACTGCTTTTCTGTAAGGGAATTATGGAAAGGAATAAATATATATGTTTTGGTAGGTAGGTGAAATTGAACTAGATTTAATAATGTGCTTTTGACTATTTCCAATGTTCTGTATAATAGCATAATATCAAGAACATAGAACTCATTTTGATTTTTAATATATGAAGAACAAGGTAGTTTTTGAATCACTTTCCCATGAAGATGGATATGTATTTTCCCTATATAGAAATCATTACAACATCAGAATGATCATTTTGCTCAATAACCTAAAACATTATTTTTGATCAATTTTACTCCTTAGTAAGGTTGATCCCTTTAACTGTTCTCTTACGCTTATCCTCCCTATCTCATCAATTCCTTTAATTATTTGTGCTTTTCTATTTACTACATCGCACTCTCGTTTCACTATAACCTCCTCTCAATCTGAAAGCCAATTCAATCTACTACATTAATAATAACAATAATTATAATAATAATAAGGGACTTTTAGTCAACTTGCTACTGCCCTCTCCTTTTCAAAATCTAGCTTCCATTTGTTCAACTCCTAATAACTCCTCTTCTCATGTTAACCTTTCTACTGCTGTAGGCTGTTCTTCAAAGGTCACCAGTAACTTCTAAGCAATACCTTCTTTCAGTTCTCATCTTATGTGAATCTTTTCTGTATCTGATTTATCGTAACAGATAATTCTGTGTTTTGACTTACATCATTTTATTAATACTAATTATTGTTTTTTAAATATTGTTGTTTCCATGAATTCATTCCTTGAGACATTTTTGATTTGGGATTTTTCTCTCTAGAAATGCTAAACCTCTCCAGTGGTTTTAACTGTTCATTGTAATGAATTTCTGATTTGCATCTTTAGATATTCTGTATTTCCAGATCTCCAAAAAAATATGAATTTGAAATTTCTTTGATAAGGGTTTTAATAAATTTCTGGGTTTTTTTTGTTTGTTTGTTTGCTTGTTTTTTTTCTTTTTCCTGTCCTTATGTCAATTCATATATTCGGTAGTTTCAACCTAGATTTTTCCAGTTTTTCTACCATAGTCTATCATTCAACAAGTCCTGTTGATACTATTTTCAAATTACTCCTATCCTCAACACTACAGTATCTATTTTGGATAATATATCCCTTAATTACATGTTATTCAGTCTTCCAATAATCCCTCTCCTTTTACAGTCTTCTAGATGAGTTCCAATTTATAAGTAATTTAAATTTCACTTACTAGAGTCCTTTCCAAACTCCTGGAGGCAGTTAATCTATCTTTTTTTCCGTACAATCATAGTTCATAAAATATGCTACTGCAATTATTTATCCATGTATCTGTTTCCTCCTTTAGTTTGGTATAATCTTACATAACAAGAATTATGAAAATAGTTCGAAGCCTAAAATGTAGTAAGCCTGAGCTTACTTCTTTCATATGCTTTATGAATGAATATGTAAAGAATAGCATTACATTTTAGAATGCTTTCCTGTTACAGATATGTAAGTAGTTTACCGCCCTTGTGATCTTCAGAGAATCTGAATGTAAAATAAGCTTTATCAGAGCAACAGATGATACATGAAAGTGTTTAGAACAAGAAATCTAGTTGCTCAATGTTATGTGAAAAATGACACAGTCACATTTAATGTTAAATTTTAAATAAATGTAAGTCTCACTCAAAGCTATATCCTACTTTGGTATCAAGACGTCAATAAAAGAATTGCCCTTTTGTTAAAGGAAGCCAAAAATTAAAATAATAATAATATTCACATTGACTTGAATCAAATTTTCTTTATTTAGAAAAATAAGAACAAAATTAATGCACTACAATTACTCGTGTAAGTACTCATTAACGAATAGTACTGCATATGTTCATATGTTATAGATGGTAATTTTAATGATGATATTTTGAATCACAATAATCTTAGGAAAGTATGTTTTTGTAAATTGTATATTGATGCCTTTTCTCTGAATACTTATTTTCAAGCTAAGAAATTGTTTACTAGTCTGCTGCTTGATGTCTGATTTTTAAAAGATTTATTAGAAATTATTAAATATTTCATAATTGTACTATTTTACTATGACTATACAGATATTTTTTAGGTAAAACATTTAATCATACTTAAAGTACTACTCTATTTTTCAAAATAACTTTCAATCCTTAGCTTCTCCTAAAGGGACATTTTACTAAATCTGATTTGATTTAAAATAAGTTTGACAATAATTATAGTGAAGAACTAGACAAAGAAAATATTCTTATATCTTAAAACAGAGAGAAACATTTTCTCTTGAACAAGGGACGATATATTTAAAATGGAAATGAAAATATATTATCTTTGCTATTTTAAACAACTTGAGATAGACAGGAATATTGCTAACATGGATTAAGGAAAAATGTAATTACGTCAAAACTTGAAAGTAACAAAAAAAAAATATGATCCACACTTACCTTATTTCATAGCCTGCTCTGTTTACTAGATTGTGGCATAGTTGAGTAAGGCTGCCAAAGTAATGATCAGAGAAAACTGCCTGCTATATATTGAGTACTTGTAAAGTTTTATTGCACCCTCACCAGCCTATTAGTATTACGCTTTGAAGCCTTACCCTTAAAAACTGTTTACATAAATATTTCTAGTTCAGAATCCAAATTGATTAGAAAGATTTCTCTCAGACAGTTTTTGATTTCTGGAAGATATGGACATAAGCTTAAGAACAAGAATAGATACTTTGTTTTTTCTGTTTTCAAAAATCTTTTCCTTTTGTTACTTGGATATTGGTTTACTAATTAATTTAACTTATTTTGTGTGATTTAAATTCTCATTGGAAAATCAAAAAATATTAAAAGTTAGGATTTACTGTATTTGAAGAAAATTACAATTACAATATGAATGTAATGATTAGATAAAAATAATCCTCTGAGTCTAATTATGGATCTTCAGGTTAAAGAAATGACCAAATCAGTAAAAATAAAATGTCAAGATATATCAACAAGTAATTCCAAAAAAAAAAAAAAACCTTTATGTATTTATTACTCAAGGAGCTCTGGTGGCACTGAGGTTAAGATAGTGTGCTGCTAGCCAAAAGGTAAACAGTTAATGTATCACCAGCTGCTCCATGGGAAGAAGATTGGGCAATCTACTTCCATTAAGATTTACGGCCTTGGAAACCCCATGGGGTTGCTATGAGTCAGAATTCACTCAGTGGCAGTAGATTTTTGGGGTATTTATTACTTACAGCTCTAATTTAATTCTTTCTAAAAAATTATGTAGTTGTATCCATTCATCATTTCATGTAGTATAAATAAATTACCAAATACACAACTAGTTCAACCTAATAGAATGTTTAAAAGCAAATGATGTGGTATGAGAGAAGGCTACAAGTACTAGCTATGCAACATAGATCTGAGTAACTTTGAGCAAATGTCTTAAGGTCTTCAGGCCTAAAGTTCTTTATCTACAAAATAGAAATGAAAATATCTACCCATAGGATCATTGCAAGATTTATACTAGCTAGCATAATTTATTACTATCATTATTATATCGTTATTAGAGCTCTACTATTTCAATGAAGCTAAGGCATTTGACTGCTAACCAGAAGGCTGGCAGTTCAAACCCACTAACCACTCCTTGGAAGGAAAGTTGGGCAATCTACGTCCGTAGTGATACCGCCTCAGAAGGTCGCTATGAGTCAGATCCGACTGGATCGCAGTGAGTTTGGGTTTTTTGGTTTATCTCAATGAAATTTAATTTTGGCTCTCAAGTGGTCAGTAACTGTGTACTGTACATAAGCTGGGCACTACCTTTTTAAAAGAATATATATTAAAATAATGTGGGCAAACAGAGAAGAAAAACTAGTTTTTTGAAGCAACTTGAATATAAATTTAAAGAGAAACAATCAAAGAAATGTATGCTTGAATTATGAAAAGATAGGGAGTTACAAAGGCATTAAAAAAAAAAAAAAAACCTCACTGCCGTCAAGTGGATTTAGACTCATAGCCACCCCTCCTTGGGTTTCCAAGGCTGTATCTCTATGGAAGTAAATTGCCCAACCTTCAGTCGGAGGAGTGGTTGGTGAATTTGAACCGCCAGCTTTCTGGTTAGCAGTCAAATGCCTTAGGCACTATGCCACCAGTTGTTGTTGTTGTTGTTATTTGCCGTGGAGTCGGCCCCGACTCATAGCAACCCCTCCTTGAGTTTCCGAGGCAGTATCACTATGGAAGTAGGATTGCCCAACCTCCTTCCGAGAAGTGGCTGGTGAGTTTGAACCTCCAGCCTTCTGGTTAGCAGTCAAGTGCTTTAGCCACTATGCTACCAGAGCTCCTAGCTTGATCTCTCTGTGAGGTACCATGAGCTGGTCTTTTCCTTGAGCAATTTATTTTGTTCCCTTTCTCCCACCTCTTTTCTCATCCCAGTTCTGATTGCATCCATGAAC